ACATAGACTGCTTCAGTATCTGAAGAGTCACAAATGGTGCTGAAAATTGTGCAAGCATCAGTAAGCATTCTCACTTGTTGCCAAGGATGTCAGATTGTTCTAGTTAAAATAGCATAAGGAGTACCAGCCCAGTATGGCTTAGTTGGTAGCGCTCTGGCCTCTGAGTCATCATTGCATTTCAGAGAGTTCACCACAAAACCCAAGCTGACCCTCCCAATGCAATACAGAGCAATTACTGCACTGTTTGAGGATTGTCTTTTTTGATGGGACATTAAACCGAGGCCTCATTTGCTGTCTCAAGTGAATGGAAAAAAAAGTCCCAAAGCATTATACAAAGAACAGCTGGGTGATTTCCCCAGCTAACTTGTAAATATTTATACCTCAAGCAAGATCACTAAAACAGATCATTTGGATTTTTAAAAAAGTATTTCTGTTAGGGGATCTTGATGTACTCAAATCCAACAGACAAAGTATTTTATTGGTTGTGAAGTGATTTGGGATGTCCAAAGGTTGCAAAAGTCTCTAGGTAAATGCAAGTTCTTTTTACATCTTTTAACAGTTGAACCAGAATGTGAAAGAGCTCACTTCCTCTTTCTCTCCATGCTATATATCTCCTCCTCTACCTCCCCTCCCCCATTTCTGAAGAAGCGTCTGGACGTCAGCTTTCCTGCTCCTCTGATGCTGCTTGGCCTGCTGTGTTCATCCTGCTCTACACTTTGTTATCTCAGATTCTCCAGCATCAGCAGTTCTCACTATCTTTGAAAAATACCATTGTTTTATCTGCAAAGTGAATTGTTTGCATTTTAATTTGAACACTAGTTTCTTCACATGAAGGCAAGACAGACCTGTTTGTATGCCAACCAGTTCTGGTACTTTTCCACACTATCATCTGCCTTCTGGTGCTCACCACAGCAGTCCATTTAATCACTGTTATGCAAATTCACAATCCATTAACTTCAGCCTTCCTGCTGCATGGACTCTGCAGAGGATTTTATTGGGGTCAAATTACACTTGACCTTTTCTGTGTTTGGTGGTCACCTATTGTACAAATATTAAACCAATCCTTGTAAACAGCTGACATACACTTATGAATGATCAATTATATAACAGCCCTGCAGACTGTTTCTTGACATTATCAATTGCTGAGCATTTCAAAAATCCGTGCACATAATTGAATCCTACTTAAAATTAAATTTAGCTACCCGATAGATATTATTTTGGTTCTGTCTTTTAATGTTTATCCAACTGGACTTGTTAGCAATGTAACCAGTTAATGAGTAGCTGTTGCACAAGGACTTTATGGAAATAAATTTCCAACACCACACCATTTGTGGGGAACCTAGTTCATCAAGATTGCAAATTGGCAATTCAATTATGCATATTACATCCAGTACAAGTTGTGACAGGAGAGCCCAAACTTGGAAGACTGTCTGTAATATTGCTTGGCTATAGAAACTGAGATTATCCATCCATTAAAGACTGAAAGAACTGCAGATGCTGTAAATCAGAGACAAAAATAGAAATTGCTGGCAAAGCTCAGCAGGTCTGGCAGCA